TCTTGTTTGGACAAACAGAAGAAGCAAGAAAGACTTCACAAGAACGGGAATCTGGCCTGCCTTTTATGCAATTCTTAACGTGATGTCGCAACAACTCCGTCCGGCGGCGCGCGCGTTGGGGGTGAAAGTTTTGTGACGTTGTTTGATCTGTAAGTTTATACCACGCCACGCGCTACGCGCAGTGCATATGGGAGACTCGGTTTTTTGTGGACATCTCCAGTTTCCCTAAAATTCATCAGCCTCGACGGTCTGGAAGTTTAAAAGTGAAATCACAATAAGTGTTTGAGGTTGGTTTCTTTAGTCATCTCGGAGAAGATATGTGATTTGGTTAAAGAATTACTATCGAAGTCGGCGAGAGACCAGACTACTAATGGGCTAAAGTTGTTGTTCTTTGCCCAATCAGCAAAAGGGTTGTCTGTTTTAGTGGGGATTTTCAACATGAGGGGAGAAGTCCGCCATCCGAGGGGTCAGGGCGGTCTGAAAATAATCCATACCAACGCTGTGCATTATACAGTGGATTTTCTCCGACGTACGTCGACAACGAAACAGTTTCAAAGTTCAGAACGAGGAAACTGCAATGCACAGGAGAGTTTTAACCAATTATTAGAGCTAGGCTTTTGTTGCCCTACAGTTTGATCAGAGCTTGTTACAGGGAGGTTCATACGTTTCTTTCCGGTCAATACTCCTGATCCTTCGTTTTGAAAGATAAAGAACTTCGGTTGGTCCATAATTAAAAGGACTACAAGAAAGCTCTGTTAGAATCGTAACAACTCTGCAGGACTTCACCCAGATTTCTAGCAAATCGGAAGTCAAGATCGACTCCTCAGTTACACTGCTCGACATTGCTCACTGTGACGTACTTATATTTTGCCGCGAGCCTAAGTTAATGTACGATGATGCATGAAATGTTGTTTTTCTTCGCAAATTTTCCAATCGATAGCATGGTGCCGGAAAATTAACTTTGATTTATACGACATCTCAAGGTTGCAAGACTTGGGGGCCCCGGCCTGGGGCCCCAGAATCGGGGAAAGCGAGTTGAAACATCACAAGGTGGATCCTGCGTTCCAAGTTTGAACCCTTCGATTCGTTAGTCATGTGTATCTTCCTATCAGATAGTAATGTCCAGCTTCTTCATGTGTCTTCCAACAGTATATGTTACCTTCATTTGGCTTTGCACTTTCATAATGACTAAAAGACGTTGCTCTTTGTCGAGGAGTCCTCAGAGCTTTTCGGTCGGAAAATCACTATGCATTATTTTTTCCGGTAAAGCACCCCAAGAACCTAGAGACAAATGTCCAATTCAAAACACCCCCAATTTTCCGTACCCCCCGGTCTCCTGAATCGTGATGCATGAATATGATCAAAAGTGGCGTTAGGCCTTTTCATCATCATATTCATGCATTTCGCCCTTCGGGTATCGCGCCGTCAGTGCTACTTGTTTTGATTTAATCACACCAAGAAATCCTGATATAGGGGCCTGAGGACTACTGCACATGTTAACGGTGATCATCCCAGGTCTCTTCAATCTGGAGAAATCCAAAAGTGAAGTTTGACACCAGAAAGCTCTTTAGTCTGTACGTCCACAACGTTGAATCAAAAGAGTAGTTCTCTTTGAGTCCTAATCAGCCCCTTTGCTCAGTAGTTGTCTGATGTTCCGTAAAACCAGAAACTTGTGCATCGTATGTCTCATCGATTACACGATAGATCCTTCTAGTGTCGTATGGGACATATCTGCTGCAATTAAAACGGTTAATAGCTACAGACGCTTTGCTGGTTGCCCTCAAGATTTATTCCGAAGTCTTGACATCGTAAATCCATTCTCCTGTGTGTCTGATTTCGGAAAAATAGAAATATTCACATCGCTGATCAGATCATATTTGGGCCGATATGATAATTCTTCAGCGACCAAATTACCATGATCCGAGTTAGTGATTGTTCAGTAACTTTTTGATCATGCAGATCATCTAAATTGTTAATAACCTGAAAAGGGTTGGTGGCATCACACTTCTGTCTGTCATCGCAAATAATCACCACTACATTATCAACGGATTACCTGGTTATTTTTCGAAGTTACACTCAATACATTCATACTGAAAGGTATTGCATCTCTTTGGTGTCTGATTAGCTATAAGAAATCAAGGCTGCCAAAGTTGATCCTGGAAACCTTGGGCCAAGATTGCGCGCGACACCCTCGAAAATCTGGAAGAAGAAAAAAAATCACATCGGCACAAACTTCAACAGTGTGATCACTGACCACAGAAGTATAAAGACCATTCTTATTTCAATACAAAATGCCTGCCGCAAAAACTGCCTTTGAAAACCTTCATCGTCAATTGCTCATCAACACAAAAGCTGCGGCTAAGAAACAGAATGCGCAAGATCTTAAGAAACGCATTGCACTTTTGTCATACCAACGTATCAATGCCATAAAGGAAAGAGATGTTTCCAAGACCTCTGAATTGACTAAGAAATTGGAGGAGGTGAAGAAGCAAACGGAGGATCCCCAGGTGGAGGTTGATCCAAAGCTTTTAGAAGGTGTCAAGGCTGCTCAGCAATCTGGTCATAGTGTGGAGCACATTAACGACATTGCAAACTATCTAAGTTATCAGAGGACTTATAATGAGCTTATTGAAAGATATAACCCAGGGTTGAGTATGACACAAGAGGACAAAATAAGAAAAACCGCACACCGTGTTGGTTTTGAACTCCCAGATAAGGAGTAAGAATTATGATCTCTACATTCCGTAGATAATTCTCGTCCACTTTGCCGAAAAGGCAAGTATTGTATATTCGAAAATAGTTATAGTTAAAGTACATAGTTCACAATGTTAAATGAAGCCTGATTTGTTGACAAACTCGTCATTTGAGGTTCTTGTAACTTCTAACCACGTCTGTATAAATGCCTAGCCTGGTGTTATGTGGTGCTGGAGCTTAAAGATTCACTCGTTCACTGTTAGGCCCTCCTCTGAAGGCTTGTGTGAGAGTTGCTAGCATAATTACGATCTCGATAGAGAACCATGTTCCACGCTCGATACTTTGGCATTCATTCGCAATCACTCGCCTTCTCGTTCGCTGGATCAGTAAAGACAGCTGTATATTTAATTTCTACTGAACAAAGTAAAACATATATGCTGAAAATTCGAAAGTGGCTCGCGTGGCGTAATGGCAACGCGTCTGACTTCTAATCAGAAGATTCTGGGTTCGACCCCCAGCGTGAGTGCCATCTTCAATTTCTTTTTTTTTGCAAAAAGCGTGTTGCAAACTGATCTTCTTCTAAGACCCTCAGGGCCAGCTAGCTGTGTTACACTATGTTAAAGAACACTAATAGTCACCTACTACATATGTGATTCTTTCTTTAAAATAACGCACAGAATCACATCGCGTTTAATGGCTGTGTGTCTTTCAATACTGTGAACGCTATGTAACATCGTTTTCAGCTAAGGTAGATCAGTAATGCCCACCGTGGAATGTCACTGTACGGCATTCTCCAAAAATGTGATGGTAGAATCGCTATCAACAATGCAGCTACACGTCTTGAAAACAGAGTCTATGGAAATCCAAATGAACTCCAATTGCGGTATTATACCTGGGCTAAGTAAAAGAACAAACCATAAAAGAAAAACCTCTGTGTATATCCCGAGAAGAGTAGCTTTGTTTTTCCGGGGCAATTCCGATTCACATGTATGTGTCCCTACCAATATCTTCGTCTGACTAAAACACCCAAACACCTCAAAACCCGGACATCGTTTGGAGGAGGGGGTTTATACGCATCACCCATGAAGAGCCATAATGATCCCCATACGGTATTGAACAATAACGTTGAACAGGAGCCAAGAATGAGTATAGTGGATCAATTGAATGTCTCAGACTTTTCTCAGGTGGCTCAAGACGCTTCGATTTTGGCAGATCCAATATCGATAGCCACTATGGACGTAGAAGGAGACGAAGGATATACGTCTTCATCGGAATACGAATACGACACTGATGATTCCTTGGAACATGAATTGGCCTTGATCAATGCACAGCTACAATGGGAGGAATCTGTGTCACAGCTGAAGCTGCTGTTGAATATTGTAATACTACCTGTCATAGGGAAGGCTATAGGTAGAAAACTAGCTGGGTTCAGTGAGTCGTCCAATATTCATGATCTTTTGGGCTCTTGGTTTTACTAACAATCGAATACAGTATGGAGAAAGATGTGGGACCTGTTCTATTGAATAGAACAATATATTAAGACATTATTTTGCATCTATGTGTACATAGTTCACACCATCTAATACAACTTGGTCAAATGATACGACGCCCTTTTGAATAGTAGGTCGTGATATGGCTTTAGCATTCTATGTGAAAGATTTTGGACCAGTATGCTATCCAATAGTCTCAACTCCATATGTGAGAGATCCTTCGAACCTATCAGCTCCCTCAACTTCTTCAACTTCAGCAGTAGTACTTTTGATATCGACTTAACAACCAACGTCGAATCCACACCATATTGTACACCATCATGAAGGCCTTCAACATCGAAGCTCTTTTGTGATGTCTCGCTTACTGTACCCATCATGGTGGCACCGAGACCATCTCTATTGGTAAATAAACGTGCTAGAGTCTCGTTAAACCTGTAAAGTTCAACAGGTAATTCTTGACCATTGAAAGCAGATCCGATTTCTAGTCCCAGTTCGTAGAAATGATCATCAAGACTGATTGAAATTAGTACACGGGGTCTCTTATGCTGTTCATCGTAAAAGGACTTACTTCTGAACGAATTGCTCGTTAACGTGACCAGTATCCTCCGATGTTATCTTTATTGTCTCCAAGTACCAGAATTCCCTTTCTTGTCTTACTTGTTGGTTAGTTTCATCAGTCCAATTGTCGTATAACCTCAACACATCTTACATATCATAGATGAACTTGAGCTTGACCATTGTATCAGCTATTCTATCGTTGAGGGATGTCATTGTATTGTTGATCTCCCAGAGCTGCTACTCCACAACGTGCCGGTACTATATTCAGTCACCTCGATTTTTGATGTCTCGAATATAAATATGTAGTAGCACCATTATAACTGGAGATAATTTTTAGAGCTTGAATGAAGAACATCTAGAGCATTGTAAACTAATAAATATTGATTCTTTCACTATCACAGTAACAATAACTGAGTTCTACATAATGCTATAATAGTGATATAATACAGGTGATTGATTTGGTAGACATTAATAATATTTCCTAACTGACGTCATTAATTGAGTATTATACACAGTAATTATTATCATAGGGTATAAACAATTTATAAACTCAATAGTATTTATACGAATTTACAATTACAGTATCCATCTTCTGGACAGTGCTTCTAATTAATTGAGATAGAAGTTTATAGAGGTGTATTTCGAATCTCTTATACTGACTGATATAAGAAGAAAATGAAGAGTAAGCGTAATCACCGTGATGGACAGCATCTCGGCGGTGCTCAGATGTGATAGTATGACAGAACACTCAAAGAGACCGTATAATGTGCTTCACACAGCCCACAGAAGCTACGGCTCAATGGTTCCTTCAATTGACCTGGAATTCAAAGGGGAATAAGCTGGAGGAACTAGGGTACACCAGTGCATTATGGGCATCATTACCTCAGTCAGGGAAGAAGATCACCTATTCTATTCCAGCTAACCATCGCAACCATCCAGCGACATTTGCTCATTATAGACAATGCGAATTTGATTCAAGTCGATCCTTTCAGACAAATTGTAGGTGTTGTTTTTGAGATAATCTGATTGAGACATATTTGCCAATTCATGATGAGCAGTTTCAATAAGTACAGTCTGATCAGATCTCAAGTAGAAGGAAAACGAATCCAAGCCAAAGACAAGTCCTCTAAGTGCCTTTCCGGTACTTGTTTCATTACGTTGGACAGGATCCAACACCTTGGATTTGAAACCGATGGGTCTCCAGGTATTATCAATCTTGTGATGAAGAGAAGCAGCTATAGCATTTTCTGAGGCACTAACAACAATCTTTATAGGAGCAGTGATGTCAATACTTTCCAGTTCGGGTCCTTGTTTCACAAGATCGACGATGGAATGAAAAGCCCTCTGCTGTTCATGTTTCCAGATAAATTGCGCATCCCTTCTCAGTAATGAGGTCAAAGGATAAGCGATATTTGCATAACTATCCAAGAATACACTAATGTAGGCAACCGATCCAATAAACCTTTGAAGTTCCTTCTTGTCTGCTGGGACAACTGCATTCCTGATGTGATCAGTAGCTGAATCAGAGGGTGATATCTTCAACGGAAGATTTGCTCCTTGAGTATGAAGTTTATGATCCATCCATTTCACAGAAGACGAACAAAACTGGCACTTCTCCAAATTAATGTGGAGCTTGTACGATTTTAAAGTGGATAGAACTTTCCTGACATGGCTTCTATGTTCTTCAAAAGACTTTGAAAATATCAGGATATCTTTTAAGCACACACGAACGTACTCGCAATGAGGACCAAGGATGCTATTAATGAAAGTAGAGAAATGTTCAGAGTTGTTCTTCAGTCCATTAGGCAAAACGTTCCACTTGTAGAATCCGTCAGGTGTCCTGAACGTTGTGTATTCAGAAGACTTCTCAGAGAGACGTAAGTGTTGATAAACAGAAGACAAATCAAGAGTAGTGAGGTGTGTGCCTTGAAGGTTGACAGAAGCTTCTTTAAACGTCAAGATATCCGGACCAATAGTCTTTGTAATCGAGTTTAATTGATGGAAATTAACAAACATTTGTTTCTTTTTACCCTTTTGTATGAATGGAACAGAGTAGTTGGAAGTTCTTGGAACAGGAGTGATTAATCCATTGGCCAGCAGATGCTCAACTTCATTTCTCATCCATTCTTCTTCTCGTTGATTCATAGTTGGAAGAGGTTTACCCTTGATTGTGCAGATTGGCGCATTCAATTCAATATCGACATCGAATATCCCCCGATCTGGTAAGACAAACTCCTCGGTATAAAGGTTTGGTATCACATCTTGTTCAAAGAGCAGAGCTGTTTGACTAGATTCGTCCAGATCATCAGGTTCTTGGTTCAAAATGTGCAGAGGGAAATCACCACCAAGGGTAAAGATTCCATCCTCCTCAACCACGTCTATAGTGTATGGGAGAAGATTTGTTGGCTTGTTCAAAGGTGAAATGATATGCAATGTCGTCACGTTGTTCGGCTCAAAGTGAAGTTTGTTGTTGTTGTCAAAGGTAACGTTCTTCATTGACTTACGTAACACTCCTCCAGCAGAGCACACGAGCGAAGCACTGATGATCCCATGGTTAGAATCTCTATCAATGAAAGCAATCCTTTTGAACCCATTTTCAAAAGTGATACACACATTGTGCATAGCTTTTACAGTAGAACTGGTATAATCTTGATGACAAACAACATGCGATGAACCATTCCCCTGAGAAGGAATAACATCAGGCCTAGTTGTAGCAGTCCTCAGTGTAGAGATGGCTTCAGTGTGATGAGATGTCGATGAAGGCTGCGGAGTTGAAATGGATAGTTTTTGATCCTGTTTGTTGCCTGTGGACTCCTTCTTATCCTCTTTGGTCGTTGGTGTCGTTGTCATGGCCGTTGTCGTTGTCTTCAAAGATGTAGATGGAAATTGAGTGTTACAGACTTCATATTGGAAAGTATTTGCCGATGGAATTGGGAGTCTGGATTTTGTCTTCTCAACGGAGTATTCAGACCAGTCAATAGTGGCAGCTCCAACATCAGCCAGAAAGTTTGCCAGCTCTACAATATCGTGAGACTCAATGAGATCTGACACAGTTGCCCAAAGCTTTGATATGTTTCGTAGGGAACTTAAAGGACCATTGCTGAGAAGAGAACGGTAGAAAGTTTCAGTATCTCCAAAAGATAAGTAGGCCATGTCTGCAGTTTGTTTGAATAGATTGCGAATTGTTTTCACAGTAGTTGTATGAGGGAGCGACATTATGGTGTCAGTTGCAGTGAGACTCTCGAGATGAATCTCATCAGCAGAGAGTCCTACACTTAAGAATACTCTTTTCAAGTCTCTTAGTGTTGAGTGCAGAGTAATCTGTTGTTTAATAGAC